GGGAGGGGTGGTGCTGCTGCTGCTGCTGTTGTTGGGGGGGAGTGGGGGGGGGTTGAGAGGGTAAACGCTCGTTTGGGGTTTGGGGTGCTGCAGACGCGGAGTATGAGAGGATCCTGGGAGTGGTGGGCCATGAGTACTTCCACAACTGGACCGGCAACAGAGTCACCTGCAGGTGGCCCTGGGGTTTAGGGTTTGGGGTTTGGGGTTTGGCGTTTGGGGTTTGGGGTTTGGCGTTTGGGGTTTGGGGTTTGGGGTTTGGGCAGCGGAGTGTGAACGCTTCGCGTTTAAGGACCTTGCGCAGCTTCCCGCGCCGGCAACTTTAGGGTTTAGGGTTTAGGCTTCGGCTGTTGCGGCTGCAGGGACTGGTTCCAGTTGACTCTCAAAGAGGGTTTGACTGTGTTTAGAGACCAACTCTTTTCTGCTGCAATGGGCTCTGCTGCTGTCAAAAGAATCGAAGATGTCAACTTCTTGAGGGCCCACCAGTTCCCCGAAGATGCGGGCCCCATGAGTCACCCCATAAGGCCCGAGGCCTACATAGCAATGGACAACTTCTACACACTCACAGTCTACGAAAAGGGCGCGGAAGTCGTCCGCATGTAAACCCTAAACCCTAAACCCTAAGCCCTAAACCATGAGTAACAGAACTACTGAATGCTTGAGTCATAAACCCTAGCGTTTGCAAACCCTAAACCCGATTGGCTGCCACAAACCCTAAACCCTAACTTCTGCAAACCGCAGGTCTGCAATGCCTCAAACCCTCGCAGTCACTAAACCCTCAACGGCGAGGCGACAGGACCAGCAGGAGCTGTGGGGTTTCGGGCGTGGGTCTAGGGTTTACGGTTTAGGGTTTAGGGTTTGACGCAGGTACCACACGCTGCTGGGCCCCGAGGGTTTCCGAAAAGGAATGGATTTATATTTCAAAAGACATGATGGACAAGCAGTGACTTGTGATGATTTTAGAAAAGCAATGGCGGATGCAAACAACAAAGACTTCACCCAGTTCGAGCGCTGGTACTCCCAGGTAGTGTTTAGGGTTTAGGGTTTAGGGTTTCCGGGGCGGGTGAGAGTGTCGAACTTGCGTTTGACGGGGCCTTTTCTGCAGCAGCGCTGCATACGCGCGCACCGCCAGAGGCCAAAACTCAGGGTTTAGGGTTTAGGGTTTAGGGTTTAGGTTTTGTGGCTAGGCGGGAACCCCTGAAGTGGAGGTTTTGGAGCAGCGCTACGACGCCAGCAGCAAAAAGTTCTTTTTGCGGCTGCGACAAAAAACCCCTCCAACTCCAGGACAGCCAACGAAGTTGCCTTTAGTCATTCCAGTCAAAACTGGACTTATTGGAAAAGTTTCCAAAAAGGACCTTCTAGACCCCCCAACCCAGGTGCTGCTGCTGCGCTGCTGCGCAGAGCTCGCTGCTGCTGCGCAGCGTTTTTTGCTGCAGCACAGCGTTTTTTGCTGCTGCGCAGCGTTTTTCGCTGCTTCGCGTTGTTTGCTGCTGCTTCGCGCTGTTTGCTGCTGCTGCGCGTTGTTTGCTGCTGCTGCGCTGCTGGGGGTTGTTTGCTGCTGCTGCGGGTTGTTTGCTGCTGCTGCGCATTGCTAGCTGCTGCTGCGCGTCGTCCGCCGCTGCTACGGCGCTTCCTCCGCAGCTATCCCCTCTCCGCCTGCGCCACCGCCGCCGCCGCCGCTGCTGCTGCTGCTGCTGCTCCTGCAGGTACTGGAGCTGGTGGAGGAGGAGCAGAGTTTCGAGTTCGAGGGCATTGAAGAGCCTTGCTGCCTTTCTTTGTTTCGGGACTTTTCAGCTCCCGTGAAAGTCAAGTGCAGCAGAAGCGACGAAGACACGGCGCTGCTGATGGCCCACGACAGCGACGCCTTCAACAAGTGGGACGCGGCCAACAGCCTGGCCTTCAAGTTGCTGCTGGCCCGCGC